GGGTCATATCATATTTTTTAATGGGTCGGGTTAGGTGGGTTGATCATTAAATGATTTAATTTATTTTTAAAATTTTTTTGTTTTGTTATATAAATAATTAATATCAATAAATTTTAATTAAAAAATAATTTAATAGATTGAGTGACTTTTTGAGGAAAGAGTGGATAGTTGAGTGATTTTTGAGTTAAAATTCAAAGTTGAGTGACTTTCTGAGAAAGAAGTGCATAGTTGAGTGACTTTTGAGTGAAAATTGAAAGTTGAGTAACTTTCTGAGAGAACAGTGCATAGTTGAGTGACTATCTTGAATAAAACCTCATTAGAAAAGTGCAATTATCGTCTAGGCATCGCAGTCACACAAGAAAAACGACTCAATCTTTTAAAAATATTTATTTAGGGAAAAAAATAGAATTATGTACATAGTATCATGAGAGAAATATAAAAATAAGTTAATATGATATAGTTCAAAAAGAAAAAAGAAATTAAGAAATTATTGGAAGAACAAATACCAAAACAATAATTTGTTATCATTACTTTACTCATATGTTTAATTTCTCGAAAGATGTGTAGTCGTATAGGAGATGGAAAGATCATGACTCCTATGAATTTGAAGTGATGTCTAACTCTATATGATGATTAGCATATGTATAATAATCTATTAATATGATAGGATTATTATTTAATAATTAATTAATTAATAAATATTTTTATTTTTTTATTTAGTTGAAAGGTGAAATGATAATTCATTTTTTTTTATTTAGATTCTTTTTATTTTAATAATACGGTAATGGTAATGATACTAATAAAAAAAGGCATAAAGTGACATATGAAGTTGTCCTAAATTTTTAAAAAGATATTTTAGCTATGCAGATTTCCTATTACTCCCCTAAACTATTTCGAACATATATTATTACATCATTTTCGGATTTCAGATTTTAAAAAGAAAGTGTAATCACACATCAATCATTGTGTGACATGTGTTAATTAATTTAAAATATATTTTTTTCATTTAAATTTTTTCTTTATTTCTTTCTCTTACTTTTTGACTTATTTTAGTTTTATTATTTTTATTTTAATTTCATTTCAATTTTTAACTCATCTTTCATCCCAACTTTCAAGTTTCCTTCATTTTCTTTCTTTATTTTTTCTTCTTCACCTCTCATCCTCACCTAACCCCACATCTATATCAAGTTGAACCCCTCTATTTTCTTTCTCTTTTCTTCTTCTTCTTTGGTCAAATTTTTTACTTTTCAAAATTTTACTATTTTCTAGACTTTATTAAGTTATTGATAACAAAACTAATTATTTTTCTAAGAAAGATCAAAATTTTGAAGGTATCATAATTTAATTTATCTCATTTTCCATATAAATTCAAAACTACAAATGATAATTTTGAAAGCATAAGAATTGTCCAAAAATTGAAAAAGTTTAATTAGAATTTGGATAAATATAACGACCTGTTTAGTCGTTTTGAGCAGCAGATTTCAATTCTGGAAAAACTGGCAGAAGCGACGGACCCCACGACGGACCGTCATGGGCACGACGGACCGTCGCAGGGTCTCGTTTCAAAACACTTAGAAATTCTAAAATTGGATACTGAAAATCGACTCTCTGAACTTCGTGACGGAGTGGCAGGACGGACCGTCGCAGGCTCGACGGCCCGTCACAGGCCATTCACTTAAAATCGAGTTTCTGTAGCATGTGACGGACAGCAGGACGGACCGTCGCAGGCACGACGGCCCGTCACGGGCTACGCAATCCCAGGCTGAGTCGGATTTCTGGTTAAGTTTTAAAGGGGCGTTTTGGACTATTCCTGCTATAATTATATATTTCGTGGGTCTATATTAATAACTCAATTTCTTGGGGGATAAAAGAGGTAACCTTGAGTTAAATTGTGGGTTATTATTGTCATCTTTTACACTTAATTATATGTTAATTAGGGTAAAAGAAAGAGGGTTGGAATAAGAAAAATAAGAAAGAACAAAGAGAGACAGAAAAAGAAAGAGAACGAGTAGAGAGAGAGAGAAACGAAGGAAATAACAAGGATTTTGAGAAGATAGCTTGTTGATC